AGACTTATCCATAAAAAACAAATCCATAATTATATAAATATCTTGATAATTAAAAAATTAGGTGGGTTTAAAAGGACTGGCCTTTTTATTTCTGAGCCCTAAATTTTAAACCCAATTTTGTTTTCAGCATCATCAAATACAAGCCCGACCCTTTACTTAAAAAGGCTTAAACGGGTTGGTCCGATGGTTTCAGCCTGTTTTGACGGTTCTAATTTTGAATCACAAATTTTTTAAGTGGATATTTTAATTACAGCTTAATTAATTAGTTAGTTAACATTATCATTAGGAGTTCTTTTATACTGGAATGGAAAGAAGTTATATGGGAAAGGGGCAGTGGCCCTTCTACAGAATGGTACATTACAAGTATTTATATGTAGATAAGACTATATTGGAGAAAAATTATTTTTAAGGATTAAATTTAAAAGTATTTTTTTTAAGGACTCCAAGTAGTAAATGCTCGTGATTTTACTTATAAATTTGCACTATTTGAGTAATAAATAATAGTAAATATCCTTCATCTTATAAAATTGTATGCACTATTTCAATGGGAAATACTTGTAGTTTACTTGATAAATTTGCACTATGTGAGAGGTAAATTTGATGTCTTTGGAAATAAAATAACTTCTGAATTTGTTCTTCCATTCTTGAGACTCATTTTCCCGAACCATATTATATTTTATTAAACATGTTGGACATTAAAAAAAAGAAAAACTAAATACATAATAGAAGCATAATGAATATCATAATGAAGAACAAATGGGACTATGGGAGGAGTGTAATTCTTTTTCTTTATTATAGTCAATAGTTTGCTTTTATCTTAAGTATTTATTGTTTTTCACTTACTATTTTCCATGCAATTTCCTAAAGAATATTATTGGAAAAAAATTGTATATAACTACATATTGAAAAACTCTAACTAATTAACCTACTAAATTTAGACTCTATTTAAATTTATGATATACCTTGAATCTCTAATTGGCATGCATACAATTGGGAGAGTGTGATTAAAAACACGCTAATTACCAATAAGTGTTGATCGAGGTGATAAGTAGTTTTACTAGATGTAAGAATGAAAACATAAGTTTAAACTCCAAAAAACTCACTTGTTAGTAAAGGAGGTAATCACTTCTTAAATCCAGACTACTTAGTTGTTCAGGTACTGACTGGTAGGTTTCCCTCATGCAAAAAAAAAGAAAAGATAATTTAATAGTGAAGTGGATGGTCAAATTACGCAAAACATTTAAGAATTAATAATGTGTTACAAATATTCATAACATAGAAGCTACACCTGGTGGAGAATTATCTAAAAACCTTTTGATTATATATGAACCCCAAGTCAATGATTCTTCATAATATTGTCGTTTTAAACATTTGGCTTAACGATGAAGGCAAACATGCTCTTACTTTTTATTCTCTTCCCATTGTTTTTTATTAATTTGTTGAATTTAACCTTTTTTTTTATAATGTTTTTTAATAGATTAGGACCATATGCTCATGCCTCTAGATGTTTTGAAATACAATTCTAAGTATGCATGTATGTATGTATATTTCTACAGCGTATTTAGCATGTACAACTAATAATGCCAAGGAAAAGCTTGGATATGCTACGAAACTATAAATATAACGTCTTGTTTAACAGGGTCAAAATAGGTTAGAGGTCTGTTAGAGGCCTATATTTTGTGTTGGTTTGATCCTACAGATGAGCCTATTTAAGTAAAGAGGTTTGAACTGTTACCTAAAGTCTCAAACGATCATGTTTATTAATAAATATGTATATTTTTATTTTTAATCATAAATGTTTTAAGTGGATATTTTAATTACAGCTTAATTAATTAATTAACATTATTTACGAGTTCTTTTATGGTGGGGTGGAAGAAGTTATATGGGAAAGGGGCACTGGCCTTCCTACAAAATGATACTATCTCCGATCCTAATTATAAGAGTTAGTTGACTAATTTGAGGAGATTAAGAAAATAAGTTAAGTTAGTTATTTGTAATAAATAAGTGTTGTCTCTCCTAAAATATCATTGCTAATCAAGTGTATTGGCTATAACTATCATTGTTAGAATGATTATTTTGAAAAAAAAAATACATAAATATGAAAGACAGTGGATTGGGATCTTATATTTAACACTATAATAAAAGTCAAATAAAGTCTTATATTAAGGACTGAAGGTAGTATACATTGCAAGTATCTACATAGGTAAAACTATATTGGAGAAAAGGCATGTTTAAGGATTAAATTTAAAAGTATGCTTTAAGGACTCCAAGTAGTAAATACTCGTAATTTTACTTATAAATTTGTACTGTTTGAGCAATAAATAATAGTAAATATCCTTCAACTTATAAAATTGCACTATTTTAATGGGAAATAATTTGTATTTTACCTGATAAAATGGCACTAAGTGAGAGGCAAATTTGAGGTCTTTGGAAATAAAATAACTTCTCAAATTGTTCTTCCATTCTTGAGACTCGTTTTCCCAGACGATATTATATTTTATTAAACATGTTGGATATTAAAAATGAAAAATTAAACACATAATAAAAGCATAATGAATATCGCAATAAAGAACAAATGAGATTATGGGAGGAATGTAATTTTTTTTTTCTTTATTATAGTCAATAGTTTGCTTTTATTTAAGTATTTATTGTTTTTCACTTATTATTTCCCATGCAATTTCTCAAAGAATATTATTGGGAAAAAATGGTATATACCTGCATATTGAAAAACTCTAACTAATTAACCTACTAATTTTAAACTCAATTTAAATTTATAATATACCTTGAATATCTAATTGGCATGTGTACAATTGGGAGAATGTGATTAAAAAATATATGCGAAAATGACAAATAAAGACCCTCAATATGTGAAATTACTATTTGGGTCTCTCAATTTGGAAAATGGCTTCAGAAGACCTAGTCCCATATTGTACATATAAAATCTTGGTGAAATGTCTAAAATACCCCTCAGCCAAGTTATGATTTGGTCTACTGAATTTGTCATTTGCTAAAGTGAACTTGTCATTTCCCATGATCAACTTGTCATTTAGTATATCCTTAAGCAAATTGTTATTTGGTCTACTAAAATCATTATTTGCCAAAATGAACTTGTCATGTCTCATAGTTAACTTGTCATCTAGCATATCTAAGTTGTGATTTCAAACATTTCACTGAGATTTCATACTTGCAATATAGGACCAGGTGTTCTGAAGCCATTTTCCAAATTGAGGGATCCAAATAACAATTTCACATATTAAGGGTCTTTATTTACTATTTTTTCAAAATATATATAATTACTAATAAGCGTTGATCTAGGTGGTAAGTAGCTTTACTAACTTTAAAAAAGATAACATAGGTTTGAATCCCAAAAAACTCACTTGTTAGTTAAGAAGGTAACTCATTAAATGACATACTCTCACTTCTCAAATCCATATTTGTCAATTGTTCGGATATCTAACTCATGTTAAGGGGCAGGATCTAAAAAAAGCATTGGATATGAGTGGTGAGTTTCCTTTTCCAAAAAAAAAAAGTACTTCTCTGTTAATATAGGACCTAATTATTAAATTGATTTTGATCCTAAATATAAACCTTATTTCTCATATTTATCAATTTTTTCTAAATTACCCCGGTGGATACTCCATCAACCATAATCAAGTAGAAGAGGGAGGGAAGATATTAAGAAAGATTATTATGGTGTTTTAAGAAAAACATGTCATATTTTTTATGAGTAACTAACTTAGCTAATTTTTTTCAAATTAATTAAATATGTCCTATATTAAGGACCGGAGGAGTAAAATAATAGTGAAGTGGATGGTCTCATTACGTAAAACATTTAAGAATTAATAATGCGTTAGAAATATTCATAGCATAGAAGCCGTATCTGGCGGAGAATTATCTAAAAACCTTTTGATTATACGAAACCCAAGTCAATGATTCTCCATAATATTGTCATTTTAAACATTTGGCTGAACGGTGAAGGCAAACACGCTCTTACCTTTTATTCTCCTCTCGTTATTTTTACATCTTTACCTTTTTTTAAAAAAAAAAAAAAATAGAAGTGCATTCAACACCTCGATCATTTTTTTTAAAAATGTATTTAGCATCCTACCTTTTCATGATAATTTTGTTTTTCTTGGTACATCCAACATACTGATCTTATTTTTAGTGCATAAATGCCTTAAATATTAGGGTTTTCAATATAGCTAAAAAAATAATATCATGATATTGAATGCGTTCCAAAAATATGATTAGGGTGTTGGATGCACTAGGAAAATAAAATTCAGGTGCTCAATGCTTTATCTTTTTTTTTATTAATTTTTTTTTAATTTCTTCCTTGGATTTGGATTCACACAAGATGAAATTTGCTTTGAAAAAAAATTTTAAAAAAAAAACAGAGAAAGAATGTCTTACATCAGCTAAGAAGCCAAGTTTCAAGCATTTAAGTATGTAACACAGGCATATGCCTATTGAGTCAAAACCTAACATGCATGGACGATTTAAGAGATGGGTGGAAAGCTACGAGATTAATGGACAATTGAATATAAATAACAAACTAGTTAGCAGTATTGTCCAATATTAAACACCAAATTGTTTTTTACAATTAGACTGAACAGGACAAGTTAATTTAATTTGCAGGATGGAATAATAATTAACAAGATAATGATTAAGGAAGCAAAACGCGAGATTGGATCATGCCCTTCCCAGTCAAGGCCGTTCCCAGAAATATGCAGACATGAATGAATATCCCTCCACGTGTTATGACTTTTTGAGGATCACAAATAATTTAAAGGGGCTAACATGGTGGTGTATCTTTTCTTGGTTTGGCTCGCCCACCCCCTCTTTTCTTTTTTTCACACCTGCTATTCCAAGCCAGCCGCCGAGAAGTCCCTATCTTTATATAGTTTTTCATATCTTATTTGGGAATTTTATCATGCGTAGTAGGCTAAATTGCATTTATTATCATTAATTTGAATTGAAAATGATGGTATTAGAGATAAAAATGACAAAAGTATCATATTTTTATGATTTATTTTAATTGATTGATTTTTAGGATATATCGTATTAGCCCCTTCTTCAAGGAACTTCTCAAAAATCATACACTCCTCTGTAATCATCTCAGAATCACATTTGTTCAGAGCTCAAACACTGGAAGTATCCTATCTAATCTGAGGAAATGAGCATATGTCAATTTCAGGTCTTCCAGGAAGTTACAGAAGCAGAAATCTGCAGACCATATGCACATCTGATCTTTTCACGTGTCTCTTCACTAAGAGACTGAAGTCCTTGTCTCCTTGCATTTTGCGATCCATCAAATATAGGAGTTGAACTTGAATCCCAGTTATTGCTTCAACCAATATTCCCATCATGTTGAGGTGGAATACTTACAATATGGATCTCACCAGTTTGTGGGCTGATAATGTCATTGTTCGTAGATGAAACTTGAGCACCATTTTGAGATTCAGCCAACATCTGAAAATATGCATAAGGGCCCCAACCTATACACAAATATGTGAAAATGATATAGATATTCGAAAGTTCTGAACATATATATCAAAAGCCTGACCCTCGGAGGAGACATAGTGGAGCACAAGAGAGTAGACACCAGGTTTAACAACTAGCAAGGCCTTTACACAAAATTCAAACTTTATCCTAAGTGACAATATTCATTAACATTTAGTGTAGGTTGATGGAATATTTTAAACATGTGCTGCTATAAGCACCATACAGTGTTTTAATATTTTGGCAATAACATTAAGCTAAGTACCTAAATGAAAGCCACATAGGCTAAATGTACCATTAACAGTTGACCATGCAGAAAACAAAAAGGCCAACCTGCAGCATAATCAAGCTCAAAGAAATATTATCCAGATGCAAAACAAATGCTAATCACATCATTCCTTCAAAGTTTCAGCACTCCAAGGAATTAAATATAAAAAGAAAACATAAACATTATTAGATACTCCTACTAATATAGTTTTATGAAACATTATTAAAAAGGTTGCATATGCCAGGAGAAGATGTAGTGTAAAATATTCAAGAGAAATCCAATATCACAATCATAGTTTATAGCAAAAATCATAAAGCAGCTCCTCCATAACTTAAAGATTATGCTAGAGGCAACTTCCATGATAATTGATTGGATGGAAATTTAGATATAACATTCAGCCATCCTTTAGCATGGTCAAGGTTAATTCAACTCCAAAAAGAAAAAATGAAAGATTTTTATAGATGTAGTTAATGGAAGGCGCTATCATGTATTTCTTTATAGTTTTAACTTGAACAGAACGTATGGGAACAACAACGATTGAACTCGTCCACTCAGACCTAAAAGCTTTAATACCATTTCAGGATAATTGCAAGCCAAGGCTTAAGCAATTAAGCAAAGTTTCATGATCGGTTTTTATTAATATCTATAACAGGCTCAGCTCAAGGGATGATTAACATGTTTCTTTGTAGCATAACTTTAACATGCTGAACCAAAGTACTGTCACAGAACATATACGTTGACAGAAGAAGAGCAGGTTGGCAAAAAAAATAAACAAAGAAAGAAAGAGCAAAAGCAGACTGTCACAACAATTCAATGTGCGTTAAATAGGACAAGGAACAATTCGTGGACATACCATCTGCATCATATGGAGGAGGAAAGAATTGCAAGTAAGAAAAAGAAGCAGCTATCGCTCCTGCATAAAAGAAGTTCACATAAGGAATTTTGGAAAAACGCAAGCGTTAATAATTAGTCAAATACAAACAAGAATTTTCAGACCACAAACAACACACCAATTAGACCTCCGGCAAACACATCTTGCCAATGATGCCAATAATCATCAACACGTGAGACTGCAACCATAGCTGCCATGAGGATTGGTAAGAGAACAATACAGAGCTTTGCAACATGACCCCTACGATCAAATACCTTAATCTTTCCAGATAGATACCATGCAAGAAAGGTTAGACCAGCAAAAGACCCTGCATAAAGAACAATTAAATAGCGGTTAGCTTATTTTGAGGCAGCTCAAGAAGCTTGTACCTTATTTTTACTTTTGTAGCTAGCCTGTTTCTCAATGACAATTTGAGTCATGACAGTGTTATTCTTTTCTATTATTATCCAAAGTAACTTCACACTGGACACGTTAATCCATGTGTGGTCCAGAACTTGGATAACTTGAAGCACTTTATGAAATTTAAGCATATGATTGCGGTTAGGCAAGTGAAGATCTGAGGTTTTAAACAATGTAACAAAAAAACTAAGCGACAATATGATGTGTTAACGACAAAAAGAATGCTAGTTAGTTAGTGAGGATAGTCTGTTACGATATGAGCTAGTTTATAGCTGTTATGGCATCCTATCTCTCTCCTATTTTCTGTCAACCACATAACACAATACCCGTAAACTAGGGTACATTGCAGATAGGCCCATCAGATTACTTACCAGAGGCATGTCCACTGGGGAAACTTTTGTGTCCTTGCTTGATGACACTCTTATCTCCAGTGCACAAAACATTACTTGTTATTGGATCAAACACCTGAACATCTCATGCGCTAATGCCGTGTTAACTGTGCAGATAACTTAAGTAAAGCAATGTGCATCATGGAAATAACATTATTGTTGTTTCTGAAAAAAATGGTTAGTTGATAAATTAAAGAACCCACCCCTTTGCCATCAGGAAAACATCGCCAAAAGAAGTCAGGCCGTGGCCGTCCAACAGCATCTTTGATAGCATCAGTTATCACCACAGTAATTAGAACAGAAAATAGAAGCCCTGAAAAGTGCATTTGGCAACACATAATGTTAAAAAAAAAAAAATTATGGCAGAGTGACGCACAAATGAGATAGACGGAAAGGGCTTTTAAAGCATAAAAAATGTACCCAATATAGCATGATGAAAGTCATAAATGTCCTTTCGCTTGATATAGTAGACAAGAATGACCGCCAGTGGCAGCAATACCGCTATTATCTATCCAGGAAATTAAAATTCAAGACTTCATATTTACACAGATCATGCCACAAAGGCCAAGATAAGATGCAAATTCATTTTTGAATGAAACAATTCCTCAAAGAAAGACAAACCGGGACAGCCCAAAAGGGGACAGTATTATCTTTCATTGGGTATCTGAGGTCAGTCAGCATCCCCTCTCCAACAAAGCGGTGAAACGGCTCTATCACATTCAAGATGACATCAATGACGACAAGAAGCAAAAGAATTAACCAGTCATGCAAATGTATTCTTGCCACTTTAGCTCCATGTGATTTAATGGTGTGCATAGCCAACTGAATTTCTGGCATTTTCCTCTGCAAATGACAAAATAGGACGATAAGAAAAACTTCTTCAAAATTTAAATCGCCACAAATTAAAGGAATAAAGAGACATCACAAACTTAAAGTGTTTAGAAAAGAATGTCGAGTTAAAACATCAAAACAGAACAGAGTGGAAAACAGAGACTAACAAGCAGGGGACTGCCATTGTGGCCAGAATAATTTGGATCATAATCTAATACACAGATGGTAGACTTTAAGATTTGGATCATAATCTAATACACAGATGGAAGACTTTAAGAACATACTTCAACAGAAGATAGGAGAAAACCAAATGCTCTATCAGCAACTTGAAAATGCAACTTTTCAACACGGCAACAAAAAAAGAAGAAGCAAAAAAGGCTCAAACAAAAGCAAACATATGCTTAGTCAAGTTATAAAATGCTTTTTCTTTGCCTGAATATGAAATATTAATTTAATCCATAATCAAACTAAACATATCAAACTGTACAATCACCAAACATCCTAATTGAAATGGAACAACCCATTCAGTGATCTTCCCACCGTTTTTATTTTAAAGGAGTTTCATGTGCAATGGACTCTGCATGCAGCTTTAGAAAAAAAGAGCGGGAAAGATGAATGCCAAGAAAGAAAGAAACGAAAAACAGCTCGTAATTTCTTTTCATAAAACGCACAGAGAACACAATGCGCACGAGAGAACAGAGAGATGAATGACCAGAGGCACAAACCTGCGCGGAATACGGGGTAGTTAGGAATGTGAGAATTGAATTTTGAGGGACCGATTAGAAATGCGCTACGAAGAAGATGATTCAAACGTAGAGGGAAAAAGCAGGCGAGGAGTGTGAGAAGGAGGCGGCGATCAACGATGGATTTGAAAAAACAAAAGACGACGTTGAGTGGAAAAGAGACGCGTGGGTTATCCGCAAGACGCGTGAGCCGCCAAAATGGAAATCAGGTCCTGATTAGTAAATTAAGGCTTTGTTTGCTTCAATAGAAAGAAGGGAAGAGGAGGTTAATTAAAAAGAGGGGAGAGGAAAGGAGGGAAAATGGCCAAATGGGGTTATGATTTTGTTAGGTTCAAAGGAAAGGGATAAGAGGGGATATTTTTTGTTTGGTTCAAAAGGAGAGTGGAATGAGAACTAGCTATAAAGTGATAAAAATGCTCTTATCTTTTTATTTAAATTTTTTTTATCATTTTATTATAATATTTAAATTAGAATTATTATTTTCGAATTTATGAATCTCAAATAATTAATCACCATACCTGCATGTAACACAAAAATTATATCCATTTTAAATAATAATTTTTATTAATTATAACATATCATTTCGTTAATTTCAATATGCTTGTTAAAATTTTATACTTCTAAAAGTATGATAAAAATAAAAAATAAAATGCATTATTGTCCCTACATGCAAAATATTTGTATATATTCATTGTTAGTCTTGGACGCAAAAGATTGAGAATGACAAAAAAGAATAGCAGCGGATTTGAGAAAAAAGAGGAGGTGAAAAAAGTGGTTTTAGTAAGAAAGGGCAAACCTGTAATATTAAATAATTATTAAGGATAATTTAATCAGGATGATATATAAAATTTTTCTCCATTCTAAAAAATCTCAAATTTGAAGGGAAACAGAAAGAAGGGAGAGGAGCACTAAAAAACAAAAAACAAAAATTCTTCCGTCTTTTTTATTTTCTAAACCAAAAATGTTTAACTCATCCTCTCTTTTCCTCTTAAAAAATCTCTAACCAAACAGTGCTTAAAGGTATGATGGCTTTTCCCCTAAAGATATAATTTTTTTTTGTTCAAACCATTGTACGCCACACCATCTCTGCTCTGGATCTCCTTAGTTCTGTCAATCCCGAAGCTTAGATGTTATTGCTCTTGTTGACTTTGTACAGTTGTTCTAATTTATATATTTTTCTGTTCACTCCAAAAAAAAAGGTTGATGGCTTTCGCGTTCTTCCTCGTCAGTGAGCACTGCAATGAAAAAGTGGCCTGGAAAGATGCAGACAGGATCCTTGGCTTCTCCCAAGATCTGCATAACTTTATTTTTTTAAGGGAAAATTTCACTGAAATACCGCTGAAGGCAATTAATTTCCAATAGCCCTCAAAACAATCTGACAAGTCACTGCAGGACCATGGGGGTGAATTGATATTAATTTCAAAACTAAAAAGACAGTATTGCCCCTCAAACTATTATTCTGAAATTTGAAGTCTTCTCTCTCTCTCTCTCAACTCCCGATATCTGAAGCCCCTCTCGCTCACTCTCTAAAAATTCTAGTTCATGCAGTGAAGGAGATCGTTCACCTCACTGTCGCTACTGTTGTGGTGAGGAAAGATTTTGCCATCGTCATTGCTCTGCTGCGGAGAGCCTTTGTTGTCGCCCTTGCTCTAGCAACGAGAGCCTCCATCACCGCTCCTGCAAGTGTTGGACGAGAGCCTTTTGTGTAGATATGAAGCTGGTTAAACTAGAAAAGCTTGCAGGAACGCGAACTCTACATGAATTTATTGATGAATACAGTTTGTTTTTATTTTAATAAACAGCTATTTTTGTGTGCATATGAACCTCAATATGTATTTTTGGAATGGTTCACGAAGTGGTTATGACAATCCGTGAGTTGAAATCTATTTTGTATGGCTATGAATAGATGGAGAATTTCATGATGGTACTTAGAGGTAAACTGCCCTAAGTACTGAACTGAAACTAGCTAGCAACTATATAAATGTGTGAACAAATTAATCGACTTGCAAATGGACGTATTTTTATTGTTAATGCATGTATTCTTATTGCAAAGTTCCTAATTCCACTTGTAAACAGTCACTTCCAGATTTGTGAATTGACGTGTTCAACTTTTTAAATGAAATAAATCTACTTGCAAAAGGACGTATTTCTATTGTTAACGAGTGTATCCGTGTTGCAAATTTCCTAATTTCACTTGTGAACCCTCACTCCTAGGCTTGTGATAAACTTTTTCAATTGAACCAGCTCACTTGCAAATGGATTTGTTATTCTTATTAATATACACGTCCTATTTGTAAATTTTCTAATATCAGTTACAAATGATCCCTCCCAGACTTGTGAATAATCATGTTCAACTTCTTAAATTCAACTAGCTCACTTATAAATAGACAAATTCTTATTGTTAATATACTTATCCTTCTTGCAAATTGTTTGACTCTAGTTGCAAATAGTCCCTCCCAAACATGAATTATCATGTCCAACTTCTAGAATTCAACTAGATCACTTGCAAATCGACGGGTTATTATTGTTAATATGCATATTCATATTGCAAATTACCTAATTCCACTTGTGATTAGTGCTCCTCAGACTTGTGAATAAACATGTATGACTTTTTTAGTTATATTAGTCCATTTGTAAATGGACAAGTTTCTCTTGTGAATCAATGTATCTTTATTGCAAATTTCCTAATTCTAATTGCCAATATGACAACCAAATACCTATGACATCAAAGTGTTAATCAACATATTCTTATTGTAAATTTTCTAATTCGAGTTGTCAATAGTACATCACATACTTGTAAGTTAGTGGGGAAAGACAACAAATTGTAATTAATTGACATGTAACCTACTCATAGTATATTCCCTAAAACAAAAATCGTGCAAATTCTCCATACACAAATTTTAACACATTATGTCATTGTTTTGTTTTTTATTGTCTTTATCCATTGAAGTAGTTTGCAATAGCAACTGATTGTGTATTTCTTTTGGAGTAATGAGTCACCACAACTCAGACTTTAGTGAAGTGTATTATTCTTGTGACACAACAATAAGTACTGTCAATAGATTAACACAAGCGCATCAATGCAAACTCAAAATAATGAATGAACTCATGAGTAATAGAAAATGACTATCACACAAGGGATATTGTGACTAGTGCTTCCTAGGCAATTTGCAAGAAGGATAAGTATATTAACAGCAAGAATTTGTCCATTTACAAGTGAGCTAGTTGAATTTAAGAAGTTGAATATGATTATTCACAAGTCTGGGAGGGATCATTTGTAACTGATATTAGAAAATTTGCAAATAGGATTTGTATATTAATAAGAATAACACATCCATTTGCAAGTGAGCTGGTTCAATTGAAAAAGTTTATCACAAGCCTAAGAGTGAGGGTTCACAAGTGAAATTAGAAAATTTGCAACACGGATACACTCGTTAACAATAGAAATACGTCCTTTTGCAAGTAGATTTATTTCATTTAAAAAGTTGAACACGTCAATTCACAAATCTGGAAGTGACTGTTTACAAGTGGAATTAGGAACTTTGCAATAAGAATACATGCATTAACAATAAAAATACGTCCATTTGCAAGTCGATTAATTTGTTCACACATTTATATAGTTGCTAGCTAGTTTCAGTTCAGTACTTAGGGCAGTTTACCTCTAAGTACCATCATGAAATTCTCCATCTATTCATAGCCATACAAAATAGATTTCAACTCACGGATTGTCATAACCACTTCGTGAACCATTCCAAAAATACATATTGAGGTTCATATGCACACAAAAATAGCTGTTTATTAAAATAAAAACAAACTGTATTCATCAATAAATTCATGTAGAGTTCGCGTTCCTGCAAGCTTTTCTAGTTTAACCAGCTTCATATCTACACAAAAGGCTCTCGTCCAACACTTGCAGGAGCGGTGATGGAGGCTCTCGTTGCTAGAGCAAGGGCGACAACAAAGGCTCTCCGCAGCAGAGCAATGACGATGGCAAAATCTTTCCTCACCACAACAGTAGCGACAGTGAGGTGAACGATCTCCTTCACTGCATGAACTAGAATTTTTAGAGAGTGAACGAGAGGGGCTTCAGATATCGGGAGTTGAGAGAGAGAGAGAGAGAGAGAAGACTTCAAATTTCAGAATAATAGTTTGAGGGGCAACACTGTCTTTTTAGTTTTGAAATTAATATCAATTCACCCCCATGGTCCTGCAGTGACTTGTCAGATTGTTTTGGGGGCTATTGGAAATTAATTGCCTTCAGCGGTCCTTCAGTGAAATTTTC